AATTTCCAAGAAAGGTTCGGAAAAAATGTTTGGTTGAGAATTGTGGGAACAAACATCCTTGGCCCTCTCTTTTATGATGATCATTTGAATAGTGAACTGTATCCTAATTTTCTATTCAATGAATTCGATGACTACTTAGATGAATTGTCACTGAATATTCGCCATGAAATACAAAATATTTTCAACAGGACGGCGCTCCTCCCCATACTGCAACAATAGTAGGGGAACATTCAGATGCAATATTTCCAAGAGAATAGATTGGAAACAATGGATCCATTAACTGGCCAGCTCTATCCCCAGATCTTACTCCTTTAGATTTTTTTGTTTGGGGATACATAAAGGATAAAGTTTTTTCAACACCAAGTACAGATATCGATTATATCTTATGCTAGAAACTTGCCACAGGAATTGTCTGGACCGACAACTTATGTGCATTCAACGAAGGGATCATCAATTCGGACAGGTAATGTAGATTGCCATGTAGCTTTGATTTTCCCAAAAGGTTTCATTTTTCCCAAAAATTCATGATAAAATAAATGGTTTTCTGTTTGATTGTTGTCACTGTTGATGGTAGTTATTTCAAATGAAACGCTATGAGAATTCCAAATGTGATATATCCTTAGATTGTGAATTTATTGGTTATTCAACATTTGTAATGAAAAAGGCAGGTCCGTATTATTAAAAAAAAGTTGATGGTGGCCATGTTGACATAAAAAGTTATATCGAGTACTCATTATTACATTGTCATAGTACACTTCGAATACAATAACTTTGTTTTTTTCCATTTTTTTATATTATTCGATATAACAATTGGTTTTCCCCGTATAACTCAAGAAGGGCGATGGTCCCCGAAAATTTTCTTCGACCATATTGTATTGATCCCAATGACAGTTACCTTTTTTCCCCATTTGATTGTCTTCGTATATGTTACGGTTTAAAATATGACAGTGTTACCACATGATAAAAGAAATGGTCTTTTTAGTGAATTCCGACCTGGGTAAAATACATATTGATTTTTGGTACAGATATGTAGACGATATTATCGCCTGGCAGGAGGGACTACACGACAGCTGAATAAAAACATACAGTTTACAATCGAGAGTTAGAGAAACAGATAATTTCTCAGATCTGACCATTACACATAATCATAATAAATTTGAGTTCAATGTATTCAGAAAACCAAGCTATACAGGCATTATAATCCCAAGAGATCCTTTCCATCCCGAATGGAAAGGATGAATGACGAATGAAAATCCTCTCGTTAATAAGCCAAGCGAGTACTAAGTTGCGACAATAATTCTAGGATAGATTTTGGGAAAGAAAGGTTTTGGTTTTCAACTTCTCCATCTCCATATAAAAAAATGTGTCAATCTTCCAAAGAAAAGAAAAAAGAAATCAACTTCAGAATTAACTCTTTACAAAGATGTATAGATCATGTAAAGAAGTAACTTCAAGATACAAATTGTAAGAAAAAGCCCTCTACATCTTCTTTTATATAATCATTATAAATAAAAAATACCTTCGAAACAACTACTTTTATATGAACATTGAATTATATGAAAAACAATTTTCCAGTAACGAGTGAAGTACAAATTGAATGAGAAAAGTGTTTTTTCGCCTTACGGTTTCCAAATTTGAATTCGCATCCACACAGAAAGGTAATCTCCAAAACAATTCAACTCAGTCTCCACAGACACAACACCCCGGACACAACAAATAATAATTCACAAAGTAAAATGATTGTATTAACCCCAATTTGTTATTTGATTTCTGACTTCTGACATGCGAAGGTTGTATTTTAATTTCGAGGAACACCAAAAAAATCTATATAAATTGAAGTTGGCATGAAAAAATTCCAAAAACAAAAAAAAAATGACGCATAAGTGAAATGATATCAGAATCTCGTTTTCATTGTGAACTTCATAGTTTGAAATACTTGAATGAACTAATACAAAATATAACTTGAAAGCGGTAAACAACTTATTTTTTGTTATTATTCCATAACAAAACATAATCAGTGTTTTGAAACATTAAATTTAATTTTTTTATCGACCTTTTTTGGGTATTTGTTACCTTTCACAATCTAAAAAATATAAAAATCATAATGGAAAACTTTATATAAGTGTAGAAGGGCAAACTTTTTAGTTCACCCCGATAAGTTACTGCGTAAAATTCAAAGTATTTTTCATATAGAAAAATCTTCTATTTATCAGTATTTCGTATTTAACAATTTTGCCTATCAAAAAAAAATTGTTAAGAAATGATACAATACTTATCTTTTACGTTTCGGAGGCCAAAATCTGACACCACAAAAAATTACTTTCGTTGAATATTTAAGAAATACATGTAAAGTGAGTTCGAATTATAAAAAGGAGGTTACGTACAGCGCCATCTGCCCGCTAATAGATCAAGCAATAATGTCGATAATTCTGGAGTTACAAACAAACAAACATATATACATACAGGTGAAGCTAATATAAAGCGTGTAATTAGGTAATTTTTTTTTCATATTGTAATAAATTTCCAATCCTTCTCACTCTCTCTTGGCAAGGTAGCTCAACCGAATTGAAAATAAGACACGGCCGGAGTCATGATCAGAACATTAGGCCCTGAGCGAAAGGAACTTGAAGTACCAAACGTTTCGTCTGCAACTGCGACAGATATCTTCAGTGGCGTATATGTTTCCTGCAAGGAAGTCGAAGTCAGTCGTTACTGTAACTTCCGATATATTACCTTCGTACTCACATACACCACTGAAGATGGCTGCCGCAGCAGACGAAGCATTTGGTACTAAGTGTTCATTTCGACCATGGCCTAATAGCACGTATTGAAAGAAATATCGTATATTGATCAAAATTTCAACAGTAAAAACTGACCTGTCCGAGGATTTGTCGAAACATATTTTTCTTATGATTATAGGAATTATATTCCACACTGTATAGTTGTTTGTAGTGCTGATTCGATAGTTCCTTTTAAGATATTTGACATTTTCTTTCCTTTCTTTAAAAAATCACTGCTTTCTTGCTGGGTAGCAACTGATGTACATTCAACCTATCATTTCAACCATTAAATGTAACCCACCCTCCGCCGGCAGATGCCCTCAAGCTGTTCGAACCACCCATGATTCTGTGATTCATTAATTTAATAAGCCTGTTGCTAAGTAACAACCAAGTAATTCCAAAGACGCTTGATTTTCCGCGAATATTTCGAATATTTTCATTGAGTTATAGGTGAGGATAGTTTCTGCCTGGAATTAGGTCGCATATGTCCCAAGGCAGGTTGATATATCTGTCCTAGGTTTCGGAGTGTATACATCTCCACCAAAACCCAAATGTACTTTTGTTCCTCAATTACCTCAATGATTTAGCAACAACTTCACTCGAGATTTCAACTTACCACCACTATGTCCTCCACCTCCAAAACCGCCCTGTCCGCCTCCTCCAAATCCACCGCCACCGTGTCCACCGCCTCCGCTGCCACCTATGTAGAAACGAACATGCCTCAAATAATCGATGATTGGAAAAAAAATTGATTCGCTGTTTTCAATTACGAAATACTAGAAATAATACAAGGAAGCTCTTGAAATTTAAATTTTTTAATGTTACCTCCATCAAATCCACCTCCAGAACCACCAAAGCCGCCTCCTCCTAGGCCACCGCCTCCTCCTTTACCACCGCCGAAGCCACCACCTGAAAAATATGAAGGTTAAATAATTTCACTTATTGCTTCACACATAGCAGAAGAATTTTATTTCGAATACGTCTAAGAACAGATAATTAATTGGTTCTATTCAGGTTTTCGATTAAGCAGAACATAATTGATAATAGTGACCCTGCAAAAAATTGTTGTGGAGGGTGGTGTACCAATGTGACGAGTGGAGGTATATATCAATTCGAGTTAACCTGAATATTGAAAAAACCCGGCGTTTACTAAGTACTAGCTACCAAAAGCAATCAATTGAATTTTCAGTATTACAAATCATAAACTTCAACTGATACAATGAAAAATATAACGGACTCAACCGTAGAGTATGTATCCAATATGAAATATCCACTCTTCCTCATTGTTTCAAGAAGTCTTGAAAATTCATCACTTAAAAGATAGAATAGGGTGCGTTCATTTCTTCATTACAGGCACCGAATTACTAGTACTAACTTTAGCCTTCATGGAAATTAATTTTCACGATGTTTTTTAATTTTACTGCAACGAATTTACGGAATGTCGAAGAAGTCCCATGAACCATCGAACACGATATTATTTGAAACCTTATCCCATTTTTACGGATTGGAATGCAATCCACCGAGGAGGTAGTAGTAATGATCATCGTGTAAATATACAAAATGTAACCAATGATAAATTGCGTATGTTTTGGTTTCATTAACCCACCCTACACAACTAATTCGAAGTATAAATTCGTAAAATTTTCTTCGTGACATTTTTCCACTTATTCGTTCACCCGATGATCCACCGCTTCCAAAACTACTACCTGAATCACCAAATCCTCCACTTCCGCCAAGTCCACCTCCTCCACCACCTCCTAGTCCGCCTNAACTGTTTTCCCAAAAAATAATAATAGTAATAATGACATACTTAAATTAGGTTCGGTAATTTGACCTGTGAAACTGAATGATAACTATCATTGATATATTATCCTTCTGAACAGGCCACGTGACAAAGATATATTTGAACGATTTATGGGCCTGTTGAAAAAATAATTGGAATAACAATGGTCAAATTCATGTTCTCGTTTCATGGGGGTCGTTAATAATCCACAACCAATACTTTGAAAATTATAAATTTGTCTTTTTTTCATTATTCTATAACTGAACAAACAACTCTCAATGTGAATGAGTTGTTTGATCAGTTAGGTGTCATCTCAGGTTAGGTGTCATTTTTTTTCACATTTTCTACAAATTCAAAAACATGAACAGAAATACTTCACCGTGTTAGGAATCACACGTTAAAAGGTAAGACCTAATCAGTCCGTAGCTCGAACAAGTTTGTCAACTTCAAAGAGTTGTCGTTCATATGGGGGTGACAGCTGATTAACGAAAAAAAAATTTAAACAGATTTTTTGTTGATTTTATTATTTGAATGACAAAAAATTGCAATTTTTTCATATCTGTCAGATGATAAAGAAAAATGCCCCTGTTATACCCAACTCAAAATCCCATTCACTTTTTACTTTTCCAAGGTTTCAAATTTATAATGATCGTAAGGAAATGTATGCCAATCTGGTATCATTCAATATCCACAGAGTGCAAGTATAATTCCCATTGAGATCTGAACACACACGAGTTGTGACTACCCCCAGTGGTTAAATTATTTTTATTGCAGAGGTTACAATCCTACCTTTCAATTTCACTAAATATCATCATTTGAAATGAGTAAATGAATTTGATGAAATTGTTATAATTTCAAATATTTCTATTTAAAATTCAAACGTAGAAAAAAATTTCAATAGTTAAATGTAGAAAATTTACCTCAAAACTTTCACCTCAATACATACAGTGTGTCTCACTTCTCATGGAAACACCCCCGTATCTTCCGTAATATTCTAGGTAGAACGATAAAACTCTCAGGACTGATGGAAATGCTCAAAGTGCACCTACCACCTGAATGGGGTGGACCAAAGTCATATACACTGTCCGCCACTCGCGATGGAACACCCCATTTTTATGGTAAAACAGATTAGGGGGCAAAATAGGCTCAAAATTCCTTCAGATTCGTGATCAGGACTACCAACTCACTACGATTACACTTTTTTCCTGAAGAAATTACAGTCCAGGTATGCCAT